ACAGCGTCTCCGGTGGACCATTCCGGGTGCTTGCCTGCATTGCCTTCAGAAACTGAGTTGACTCTCAATGTTGGGCGTAGACAGTGAAGAGCTGAAGTGCTTGCTATGCAGAGTGATTTGGAAATACTTATATAAATGTCACATAATTAATTTCCAGCAGAGGCTATATTAAGTAAAATTCTGAAACTATGTCAATGAAGCCAATTTTTGCAGCATTTCTGAATATTTTTTTCACTTGTTAGGAAGTTTTTGTTATGTCTTTTCCATTAATGGGACTTAACACTGCAACTTTTAAACACAAAATAAATTAAAAGAAAATCTTTATAGGAAGCAATGGGGAAAAAAAAAAAAAAAGCCAAGTACCCGCTCCCTGCCCAGGGTATTTGTCTCATTTCAGCCCTGTGAAAGTCCTATAAGGCAGGTACTGTGACTCCCACTTTACAGATGAGGAAGCTGAGGCCCAGGCTGGCTCAGCAGTGTCCAGGGTCTCCCAGCTGGTGAGAAGCAGCAGGGGGAGCCCAGCGTCTCGTGCGCCCTACCCCCACAAGAGGGGCGCAGGGGCAATGAGCTCGTAATGGAGACCACACACCAGTGGGACCAGCAGGTAGGATGCAGGTGGACACCCCGGCCCAGCTTTGGTCTCTCACAGTGCCCTGACCCAGGCACCTTGAGGCCAGGGACCTGTCCTGTTTGCCACTGTGGCCCCCGCATCAGCTCTGGGCCTGGCACACACAGGGCAAGCAAGCTTTGGATCCAAGAACAACTGACCCGAAGCCTCACTCTTTTCCTCTGGAAAATGGGCAGAGCTCAGTAAGCTAGTATACTTCCCATGCTTGACGCATAATAGGTCTTCAAGAATAAATGGGGATTGATGATTATCAGTGATCAGCCCTTTGCTTTAAGAGGCATCTGACCTGTCCCCCTTTTGCTACATTCCCCTCCAAGTTGCTATGGAAGACACTATCCCCTAGGGGTCCCTCCACCTGGAGTGAACCCGGAGACCTCCCCACCACAGCCTTCCTTGCCTCCCTAAGCACTGCCCTCCAGGCTTCTGGAATTAGAGCCCCACCAGAGAGAAGGGACATGAGACACAAAGCAGTGGAGCAAAGACCAGTGTAGTGACTGCAAACCAGGACTTCCCCTTCTTCCTGCCCCCCCAAAAGTGGGGGCAGGATGTAGGGGTGCACCTGGGAGAGGAGAAGAGGGGCCTGGCTGGCTCACTCCCTCTGGCTGCAGTCCTGGGACCCCCTAGATGGCATCAGGAGGGCCCACTTGTTTGGCAATGTGTTTTCTGAGTGTGACACGTGTTGGCCAACAGAGGACAGCAAATACATTTTTTATGATCCTGGGAGGCTCAGTCCTGTCACATTTACTCGAAAAGAGGCTGGGTAGTAGAGGGGGACAAGTCATGTCTTAGTTATCTGGATCCTCTTGGGGCGAGGGGACACTTGTACAATGATCTGGGGGTCCCTGGGCAAGGGGTGCAGGTGGATCAGATCTCAGGAGGGGCTCAGCTGTAGGGGAGGGCCCCCCTCCTATTGGAACCTTATGTAGCTTATGGAGGGGGTGTCACCCCAGGGGCCAGATCTTTTGCCAAGTGGAGAAGGTACCCTCAATGCCGCACCCCCAATTTCCTACAGATCTCTTGGACCCTGCCAACGTCGGGGGGCGGGGGGGGGGGGGGGCGGAGGGAGGACAAGCACAACTTTATGTTTTGGCCTGAAAGTGGGTTGGTATTTGGGGAGTTCTTGGGAACAGAGCATTGTCCGTCCAGTTTCCAAAACTGGGAGTTCCAAGGGACTCCAGTCATCCCAGAGCAGGTTAGAGGCCACCAAGGGGTGGTGACCAGGCGTGGGGACCAGTCTGGGTGCTGCTCCAACTTCCACTATTTGTTCATGGGGGGGATGATGAAAATGGGAGGAACAGCTAAAAGCTCCTGCTGACACTGTCACTGAGGTTCCCAAAAGAGGCTAGCAGATCTGGGGGCGAGTCTGAATCTTAAGTAGATGTGTCCCAATTCAGGCACCCTGCACCCCAGCTGAGGGATCCCTGGAGCGCATGTGGAGGACTCCTGCCCGCCCCCAGGAGGGAGGCCCAGCCCAGGCTCCCTCCTCCGGCCCACGGGGTGTCGGAAATGGGGAATCTCTTCCTACCCTCGTCCTCCCCCCAGTTTGGAGAACCCCAGGCTCTGCCCCCACAGGTCGAGGCTGACGTCGCCGCCGCATTTCTAGGAATGCCCCTATCCGCTGACTATATTTGGCGAGGGTTTCTAGGAAGGCACCCCCCCCACCCCGGCCCCCGCCCCAGCCCCCACCCGGGCAGGCGGGCGCGCGCCGCTTCCAGGCTCTCGCCCTCTCTCCCGGGCCGGGGAGGAGCCGCCCCGCCTGGGCCGCCGCCGCCTCCCCAGCGCCGCCAACCCCGGGCCGGCCCAGCCCCCGCCCCGGGCCGGCCATAGGGCGTGGGGGGGGAGGAGCGGGGGAGGGGGGGCCGGGGGGGGCGGGGGCGCGGCTTTGTGGCGGCAGCGGACCGTGGAGGCCGGGTGCAGCCCCGTCGGCTCCGTGCTCTCGGCAGAAAAGGATTTTCTACGCCCCCCGCCCATCACTTGGATCTTGTCTGGGGAGGGGTGGGATCTTTTTCTGGAAGTCCCCCCCCGCCCCGCGGTGAAGGATTTGAGGCTGGGCTCCAATCGAGGCGGAGGCTGCAGGGCCCGCGGGCGCCCCCCGCCCCGCGCACGCCTCCCGGGAGCCCAGGAAGGCGCAGCCCCGGGGGGCCCCCCTGCGCCCCCGGAGGAGGCAGCGGCGGTGAGTCTTCCCCTCTTGCCTGCATGGCACCCTCGCCCGCGCCGGGGCAGGGGCCGCGGCAGGTGGGTGCTCAGGCCCCCGGGCCCGGGGGGTGCGGGGCGGCCGCCTGGGGGGCGGGTGGGGACGGGAGCGGGGAGGGGGTGGCGGGGGCAGCGCCCGGCTCTCCGGGGACCCGGCGCTAGACGCCTGTCTGGGCTGCGATCCGCCGCCGCTGCCGCCCCCCGAGGCGGCGGGGCTGGGCTACCTCACCAGCCCCCTCCCCGGCTCCCGAGAGGGGCGTGTTAGGCGAGGAGGTGGGATCGGGGCGAGGCAGCCCCCCATCTCCCCGATGCTGGGGCTTGGAAATTAACGCGCGGTTGGAAAGGCAGCCACCCCGCCCCCACCCCGGAAAGCCCCTGCGGGAAACTGACTCGCTGCGTGACCCCGATATCAATGCCGCGCGGAGAGCAGGCCGCCCGCTCGCAGGTCCGCGCCCGTCGCGCCCCGCCACTCCACGTGCGCCCCGGGCAGCGCTCGCTCCGCCCGAGCCCTGGGGACCGCCGGCAAAGCAGGGGAGGACAGTCCCCAGAGAGTTGCCACCTCCCCGAAGTAAAGTTGGCTGCCCCCCCCACCCCCCGAGGAGCAGGCGGCCATAGCACGTTGGCTTAGCTTTTGATGGGCAGGAGCGGGGGAAGAAAAAAAAAAAAACCCACACACAGCTAGGTTCCGGGGTGCAGACTGAGGTGCCAGGGCCCGAGACCACACCGTGTTGCTCTGGCAAAAGTTAGGGGGAAAAAGGCATTTTGATTTGGGGACGGGGGTGGGAGTGGCCTTTCTGCTTTCCCCTGCTTCCAATCCGCACCGTGGGGAGCGTTGGAATGTGCCGCTCAGATCCTCTGAGGACACATCCATATTTATAATTTATTTTTAGGAGAAGTTGTGAAAAAGAGAGGGGTTTAAAATGGGGAGAAAGGGTGGGGGGGTGGCCTTTTCGGAACCCAGAGGCTAATTGAGCTGTTACGGTGGAAATAATTTCCCCCAATAGGGGCAAGCAGCAAATTTGACTTTAATGAGGGACAATTAAGGGCATAAATAACTAAACTTTAGCTGCTTGAGGGGGGTGGGGTGGGGATTGTATGCCGCACCAAGGACACTCCTTTTGCGCTTTGCTAAGGGACATTTTGGGGGCCCAGCGTCTTCCCTGTGTAGCTTTCGGTCCCAACTGTGGGGCTGGGGTCAGGAGAGGGAAAAAGATACCGGCTTTGGGGTGGGCAGACACCCGCCCCCATCCCTCCCACCACCATCCTGGCTTGTCGGTGAGATCAACTGTCATCCCTGTAGGAAAACCCAGGATTCCTTTAATTATCCAGGATTCTCCAAAATCCTGCCTCTGAGGCAGCCCCACCAGTGCTCTGAGCTGTGGAGGGGAACACACCTCTTTGGAAAGGTTTTGGAGGCTGTGGTCCCAGAATCGGGGTTTTGAGGGCGAGATGAGTTTATGTTTTATCCAACTGGCCCACAAAGTCCCGCTTTTGGGGTCATTCTAAACATCGAGGGATTCAGGCCCAGCAGTCCGTGGAGAGAGAGCCAAGAGCTGACACCTCCAAGTTGCACGTCTAAAAGCTGATTGGAGAAAGGGGGGGAGGTTTGCTACTTTTGGTAAAAGTGAAAGGCTGTTGGGGGGGTGGATAGTTTCTGTGTGTGTGCGCACACGCACACACGCACACTGTTTGTTGTTGAACCTGCTAAGTTTTTAAGGGCCTCTTCCCTCGGGAGGCCAGAAAGAGATAAGGGAATTGTACAGGTTTTTTTTTGGTTTTTTTGTCCAGTGGTTTAATGAGATGTCGTAGAGGACAGGATTTGAAGGGAATGAGCTGCATCCCGGTTTGACACCTTCCAAATCAAACACCGTTGACGCTGTGAATGGTCATGACGTTAGATTTTTCTTCACATTTGTCAAAGGAGCACCCCTCTGCTGGCTTCTGCGGGGAGTCACGGTATTTCTTTGGTGCCTTGCTCCAAGCCATGTTTATAAGAAACTCAGGATAGTGTGTTCACCGGGGAGCTCTAAGACAGGGGTGGTAGGGGCACAAATACCCTTCCCAGAACATTCACCTTATTACGTTGTATTAATTTCAACACACACACACACACACACACACACACACACACACGCATACCCCTGCCCTCCAGCTGTGACCTATACAGACGCCCACGTACCTTAAGTTGATTTACTTGCAAACCTGGATTTCAGTCAGGTGTCCACAGCACCGAATAGGAAAATGAGCTGTACCTGAAGAACTTTGGAACACAGGGTTCTTGATGGCACATTCTGTGTTTAACAGACATGAGACGTGTACACACAGATGACATTTGCGCTCTGGGGCCTTGGCAAAAACAGTTTTTTACTTCCCGAGTTCTTTCTCTTTGTTACGGGACACGATGAAACAGCACAATTTTCAAGAGTCCATAGTCCCAGTGTGGCTCATGGATGGGAAACTGTCACATTGTGACACAAATTGTGTTTGTGCTTTGCTGGATCGTCGTCTGTCCCCCCCACCCCCACCCCCGCCCCGGCAGCCCCAGAGAGCTGTCAGATCCTATTTGCTTTGCTAAATAAGGATATCTCGCCAAATTAGCCTTTAATGATACTTGTACGAATCGGGTGTGTTGCGTGAATTAACGAGGCCGGAACGCGGAATAGTGCGCCAAGACACTGAGCTCGCATCCAGGCGGTGAAGCCGTATGTTAACATGACTGGATTGTGAAGTGGGGGGAATCAGACAGAGTTTGGTGCCGAGTGTGAAGCGAGTCTGCTTTCCTGCGAGCATTTGCAATGGCACAGCCCTGGCTGACACGCAGCCCCCTGAAACGGCGCGTGGAACTCTGAATACATTGAGCACAACTTTGCCCCCCTTCGGAGTCTGGAAACAGGCAGGGTAGTATGGTGAAGGGCTTATAAATCAGGACTCTGCCATGAGAAGGCTTCAGTACTTGGGCAGAGAATCACAGCTCCTGTGCATGTTCCTACCACCACCCTCTCCCTGTCCTCCCCACGGCAATAAGAAAACACACACGCACATGCACACACGCACACTTGTGCGCGCGCGCACACACACACACACACACAAATTAACAAGGAACTGCTGAATATGCTGAATGCATTTTGGCTTTTCTCCTTTGGCCTGTCTGTGTGAAATTTCATTAAGCTTTTGCTACCCCCCCCACACACACCCCACCTCCAAGACGTGTGGATTCAGAAGAAAAAAAATAGAAACTTGGAATTTAGTTCTTAGCAATATGTAAGATAGAGCGAATCTCATCGGGACACAAATGTTTCGAAGGGGGGAAAAAATATGATCTAGCCAGGGGTGAAATATTTAGAGGGGGTAGTGCAATGAGAGGAATACTTCCTTAAGAATAAAACATGCGTTTATGACTCAAACCAATGAAAGGTGGGCAAGTCCCTACAAGGGAACACTCCCTCTTCTTCTTGCTCCCCAGCACCGCCCCCCTCAACACACACACACACACACTCTCCACCTTAAATATTAAGAACAGAAAGATGATTCTTGCCAGGTAAAGGTACGGCTTTCTAGTAGCAGATCAGCTCACCCTCTTTTAATTGGGATCGTGCAGTAAATACAGCTCTTTTGGGCGGTGAGGATAAAAATTAGCCTGATCACAGTTAAGGGAAACTCGGTCCTTAGACTCACGTGCCAGAAAATACGTGCACGCACCAACAAAATAAAACATTGTTCTGGAATTTTCTCTCTTGCCCAGCATCCCAAACTTGGGAACATGTAAAGTCTTTTTTTTTTTTTTTTTTTTTTTTTTGCTGCTTATGTACGGAACGAGGGAAACAAAACCACCACACGACCATGAGGTAAACCACATCGACTTTGTAGGCCCGGTAGCCACGCAGGCGTTTCAAGCAAAAGGGTGGATGAGGTAGAGAGTTTGGAAGGAGTGAGATTTGGGGTCCCGCCACCACCCTGAGCCCCCAGCCCTCCTCTGGTCTCCCTTCAGAGTGGCCCACCCCGAATCTTGAGTTCTAGGGGGCATGTCCGTATTTACAGAGCCTTCAAGTTTCGGACTGTACGTCATCTTCCTTATATCAAGCGCCTGCATTTAAGGAACCACAGGGCAAACTTGTTTTTCGGGTGTCCCTGAATGGTCGCACCGCTCCACGAAAGGGGGACACACACGTAGGAAGTGGAAACTGCTGCTGGTGTCACAAGAAAGCCATGTTTAAAATGCACCCGGAAGATGGGGGGCAAATGGACCCTTTTGTCCAGGATTTGCTTGGCCCCCGCAGGGAAGGGAGGTGGTGGCCGACTTGAGCCTGAACTTAGCTGTGCAGCGTGGTGTGAAAGTTTGCTCAGAGGCGTGCAGAAAACTAGGCTCTCTCGTTGGAATTGTGCGTGAGATCAGTGCCCGGGCCTGTTGGCATCTCTGCCCGAGGCAGCCTGGACCGCTGCCTGCCCAGGCCTGAACGTGGCCTTCAAGGCGCCACGGGTGCCCAAACGAGCCCCCGGACAGGTGCACGGGGGTCTCTGCTCCCAGGACCCTGCTGGCAGCATTTGTTGGCTAGAAGCGGGGTGTTGGGCTCCTGAGAGTGGCCTCCCCGGGGACTCTGCAGGACTTACTGTCCCATTTACTGCGTGGTCTCGGTGAGGGCAGAGCCCCACTTGGCTAAGCACAGCCTCCCAGATGCTCAGGGGGAAACAGATGAGGCCGTCCGAGGGGCTCCGGGGCAAATCCGCCTGTGCGGGAGCCTAGAAGGTTCAGGGGCAGAGCTGTGCTTTTGCAGGCCAGCCGGAAGTCCTCTCCGGGATCCTCGCATTTGGGGTGGGCCCAGGGGGCGTGGCGCAGGGCCAGCAGCGTCTCAGCGACCGACCGGAGCAAGCTGCTCCTTCCCCAGGCCTCTTCCATCGGGCAGCGAGGAGGACCCAGGCCAGCAGGGCAAGGGTTGCAGCCCCAAAGTGGGGAGAAGGCGTTGGAGGCCCATCAGGGGGCCTGCTGGGCAGACGAGGGGACCCTGAGCCGGCCTGGGGGGGAGGGGGGCGGCCGAGAGAGAAGTGGGCATCCCGGAGTTGAGCTTGCAGGGAAGAAGCCCGCTCAGGCATGCTGCACCCAGCCCTGAGTCAGCCAGTCCCACGGGACTCCCTTTTGGCCCCAGCAACTGGACTCCAGGCCACCTAAAGGCCTCGTGCGTGGTTTCCTGATTGTGTCTTAGAATGGCATTAAAAGGTCCAGACTGGGCGCTCGCAGGCCGTGCCATATTTAGCCTCAGCTTCACCCAGAGAATATTTTAGGTGCCGCTTGAAAGAAGAGATCGGGGCCGGGTTACCAGCTGTCACATGGCGAGCGTAGAATCGCTCCCTTGCAGGCCTGGCCCTGACCGCCTGGTGCTCACCGGCACAGATGCCCCGCGCCCCTGCCAGGGCTCCGGGGCCACGCGACAGGTGCCAAGGAGCCGGTTTTCGGCCGGGAAGGCTTTGCGTCCCGTTTTCGGTCCGATGGCGATAAGGCAGAGGCGGCCTCCATTCACAGAGCTCACAGAGGCTGTTCTCAGCCTCTCTCTCCATTCTCGATGGCCCAGTGTGATATGCCAGCCTGCTGAGTGAGCAGCCTCCTCCTCGGGTGTCAGCAACTGTGGAGGAGGTTAACCCTTTCAGGGCCCAGGGGTGCTGGCCGGCCTGGGGGACCCGCACCTGCAGCGAGCTTGCAGGCCACCGGCCCCAGGGGAGACAGTGTGCTGGACTTCTTAGTCCTCGATATCTAGAGGCCAGACCTGAGAGATGGCTTCCTGGACCTGAGCAGGGATTCCCCCTCCCCCACCCACTTCTGCCCCATCAGCCACCACCACCACACTCCCCTACCCAAGTCTTCGCACCTTTGGTTGGTTGTGCGGCATGGAAACAAGTGCTCCCCTTTCCAGGTACTTCCCCCTGGGTTTCCATATTGACTGCCTTTCTCCCACATTCCACACCAGGAGGTATTGATGGATGCGTGGCTCCCTTAGATCGGTAAGGCGATTTCGGGAAGCATCCATCCGGGTCTTGGGGAAGCGTCACAGGTGAATCCTGGAAGTGGCCTGGTCCTTCCAGCCTGCTCTGGGATTCCCGATCTTGGTGTGTTCTGGGCCACAGAGGAGGTGCGTCTGTCTCGAAGCGGCTGCACTGCGACACGTTTAGCCAATTATCGGCCAATAATCATCAGGCTTTTGGGGAGCCTAGGTGGAGCCGCCGCATACCGTGAAGGCTTTGGCTTGTTTCAAGGTTGCTCTCACTTTGTACATTTTTTCCTTTTTAGTTCTGGCTCTCGGTGCTCCGAGCACCACCACTTCCTGCCCAGCTGGTTCGTTACCGCAGGGAAAATGAGGGACTTTTGGGGGCAGATGTGTTTCCATTCTACTATCATAATGCCCCTAAAAATCCTTATTGCTCTTGCAGTATTCCTCGGGGGCCCTGGGCTAGCTGGGAAGATGGCAGCTGTGAGGTCTTCCAGCAACTAAAGAAGAGAAAGATGTTCCCCCCAAATTCTCCCAGCGCACACTTCCCTCCTGCGCTCACGCTGTGCTCACAGCTGGTTATGGCCACACGAGAAAGAAAAAGGCGCCATCCACAGACAGTATTGCCAATTGTGCTTTTTTGCCCTCCAGGGGCGGGGGTGGGGGGTGGGGGGAGGGGGAAGGGGGACGCGTGGGGGGAAGGTGGGAAAGTTGGAAAACAAGCGAGTGTTACCTGTTTGACCAGGCGGGTGAGGAGATTCTCACCCTTCAGCCTGGTCCTTCCAGCAGGGCCTCTGGGATCTTCACCTTGGCAAGAGGCCCTGGCCAGTCCTGGCTTTCTCCTCCCTGCCCCAATCCCTGAGCCAGGTCACTTTCCCACTCTCTGCCTCAGTTTCCCTATCTGCCAAGGGAGGGGCCACACTCCAGGCTCTGGCCTGGAAGGGATCATGGTTGCCACCCACGGCTATAATGAGCTCAAGCTCTATATGAGCCCCGAAGGCTTTGTGGCGGGCTTTGAAAATGGGGAAGTTAAAGCATTCACCGGGGAAAGGATTAGTACTAATATTTCCTAACACACGTGTTATATGCTGAGGCAACTCAAACAAGGAGGGGAGACCACAGCCCCACAGTGAGCATGGGTTTCTGGAATCATCTGGGACTCCTGCTGTGTTGCCCTAGGCCAGTGGCTCAACCTCTCTGGGCTGCCATTTCCTCCCGCGTGAAACCCACAGCTTAGGATAGCCACCTCCCAAGTCTGATGCGCAGATCTACCCAGC